TCGGGCCTAATCCTGTCCAGTCGCTCCTTAGTCGGGCTTAGTAGCCCTGAGCCGTTCTTGCGAAGCCCTCCCAGAAGATGCTTCCGAAGGAAATGAGGCCGAGGCTGCTCGTGGTGGCGAGGCGACGTTTCTCCGAGGTGGGCGCCGCTGGGCTAACCTCCTTCGGTCCGAGAGGTGGCCTTCTGTCGACATCATAAGGAACCAAAACGTAGGGCATCGGACAACTCCCACCAGCCCTTGAGGGCGTAAGATGGTCTAGGGTGTTTCCTCTTCCAACCCCCCTTCTTCCCCTGATGGGGCATCTGGTGCACCAGGCGTGCCTGGCACACTCGGGCCCCATGGGTGCCTGGCGCGCGTGGCGCCCCTGGCACGCGTGGCGCACCTCGCCGCCCAAACGTCGCGCACATGGGGTCGGCGTTGGTTCCCAGTAGCTGTCCATCCAAAGACGACCGCTGGACATGCTCAGGTTCGGGTATTACTTATGTGCAAGGGGGGCGGGTGGAAGTGAACGAGACGGCTTGCGGGCGGGTGGGTGTCTTGACCCCTCCTCCGACTCCCTCCCCTGGACCTGGACGGGGCTGGTCGCGAGCGGTCAGGGCGTCCAAAACAGCCTCGGCGAGGAAGCCGAAATCATTGGTTTTACTGTAATTGGGGACCCCCCTTTCTTTGATCAATGTCCTCTCATATGGCCCCAAGTAGCGCCCAGGAGGCCCCAAGATGGCCCCAAGATGGCCCCAAGAGGCCCCCAGTTGGCCCCCAGGAGGCCCCCAAGAGGACTCCAAGCGGCCCCAAGAGGCCCCCCCGAGGCACCCAAGACCCCAAGAGCCTTCCAGGACCGCCAAGAGACCCCCAAGACATCCCTAGAGGCCACCAAGAAGCGCCCAAGAGATATCCCAAGAGGCTCCGAGAGGCATCCAAAAGACCTCTGGCCCTTTTGCTTGCCCTCCTCCTCCTGCTCCTCTTTCTTCCTCCTCCTATTCCTTCTCATCCTCCTCTTCCTCCTGTTTCTCCTCCTCCTTCTCCTCCTCCTCCACCTCCTCCTCCTTCTCCTCCTCCTCCTCCTCCTCATCATCATCATTTTCATCCTCCCTGTCCCCACGCCCTCATCCATCCATCCAGCCTCCTCCTTTTCATCCTCCCTCCTTCGCCGTCCCCCTCTTGCTCCCGCACTTCCCTGATCACCTCAACTCGCCTGGACATCGTTTCTGGATGGGCTGGTGGGGATACTTTTTGTTCGGGAGCGCAAGCGGAAGAGCCGCGCACCGTCACAAGGGTCAGGCAAACCTAAAAGCCGCGGCCAGGGACAGACGCGGCGAGCAAGCAGCACGCTCAGAAGTCGAAGACAGCCAAGCCCGCGTGCCGAAGAATTCGGCAGCGCCCAACTGCGCCAACGTTGTCCTCAGCGAACTTGTCCTCGGCGACCTTGTCCTCAGCGAACTTGTCCTCAGCGAACTTGTCCTGCCGGATGTGGAGCACGAGCACCACCGCCGTCGTCAAGAACAAAATCCCGTGACCACACCACGTAGGCCAGCCTCAAATAAGTGCCCAAAGAAGTCCTGCATCCGGAGGAACCCCAGCCGGCGATGCGTGCAGCTGGTGGGGATACGGGAAGCGTCTAGAATTTCGCCGTGGGCAGACGGACACGTTCGGCGACTTGTGTCGTGTTGCGTATCCCCTTTCCCTCCGCCCTGCCCCCGCTGTCGCCCCTGGAAGCCCGCTGCCTTTCTCTTGGGCCCCCATTACTTTCCTTGTTTGGCTGGCCCTTATCGTCCACAATCGAAAGACATCGCATCCGCGTTGCGGATGGCTGGCATTTGGCAGTCCTGACGGCCTCGCAGCCCTGCCATGGCACAACCACAAGAGGTGCCAGAACATCGCGTGGCTTCAGAGCCAGCAACACCGCCGAAGGGTCATAAACTACCGGCGCCTCCTCTTTCTCTTTCTCCCCCTTCCTCCGCGGGTACACCATTCAGTGCCGCATTGATCGGCCTACATGCTCCAATGGACGTGTGCGCAACCAGAAACCTCTGGTTCAGACTGAGCACAGAAGCAAAGAGACAGCCTACGAGGGCCCCAGGACGGCCCCAGGGGCCCCCAGGACGCCACATGGCGGCCTCAAGAGGACAGCCAAAAAGCCCCCGACCACAACCGCCCAAGAAGCCCCAAAGATCGCCCCAAGCGCCGATACTGTCCAAAACGCCCCAGATTCTAAGAGGGTCACGAGAGCCTCAAGATGGAGCTGAATGGCCTCAAGAAGGCCTTGGGCCCCGAGCTCCCCCAAAGATGGCCCAAAGACGCCTCCCAAACTCACTCAAGTCGCAAACCAGGCACAAGAGACACCCGAAACTCTCTGGTATGGGGCTCCAGCGGCCCCAAGAGGGCTGCCCAACGTCTCCATGAGGCTCCGGTTCGAGGTTTGGGAGCGTTTTCGGTGTTGGTTCGGTTCGAATTGGCTCAACGTTGGAGCTCATGTGCAGTCTCCATTGGACCTGCGAAGCGACAACTAATCCTTCCAGTGTGACTTCATATCCAATCGGCATTCGCATGGGTGCACGTCTTTGCAAAAACGATTCTGCGTCCTCACTTACGCTTATGTGCGGACCATTATCTTCGCTTGGCTTGGCGAAGGGGGGTGGGGAGTCCTGCGGCTTGGGGGTAGAGGGTGCGGTAAACAAAGCTCTCTCAGAAAGCGGACACATATTGCTTCGGAAGATCTCATCCGCTAGTCCACCTACGCCTAGAGAGTTGTTGGTACTTGGATGTAGGATGCTGGCGGGTTCAACAGTTTCCAGGGTGTCGAGGGAACCTCCAGGTAGCCTCCTTGGGGCCTCCTGGAATTTCCCTCGGGTCTTCTATCATCAGGCGATCGCAAACATGGATCAAGGGGGCGTGGATTAGCGACGGGTCCCGCTTCCATCGGAAATCGCGGATTTCCGCCGACGAACGAGGCGGCACCGGCCGCCTTTCGGGGAGGGCACCTCCCCCGATCCATGGATTTGGCGACCGCTCGCCAAATCCATGGATCGCTAATCCATGTTCTTGCGTCTCCGATCTAGGCAGCCTCCTCGGGGCCTCCTGGAATTTCCCTGGGGTCTCCTATAAGAGTAGCGCGGCGGCGTTGCGCGGGCCGACGCTGGACTGCTGTTAAATCGGGCCTGTCCCTCTACAGGACGGATATTCAAAAACAGTGAAACAATAATCGGGGGCGATTTTAAAAACATGTTTTGAGCATTTTGGGAATATGTTTTGAGTATTTTTAATATTTCGCGTATTTTTATATTTCGCCCAAAATCCCCCTGTAGGGGGACAGGCCCGACCTAAGTCTACGCCCTCCAAGCTTCCAGGCTGTCCCCTTGGACTGTCAGGGAAACCTCCAGGGGCTTCTGGGAAGGCTTCCGGCATAGGGGTTTCCTGGGGTTCTCCATCCGGAGGAAGAGGACGCTCTGGGAGGCTTCAATCCGCCCCGCCCCTCCAACACATCCCGGACGTTCGGAGACCAGGGGGATCCGCCCCAGGGTCGTCGTTGTCGTCGTCGACGACGACGACGACAAGGACGAACCCCTCCTGGCGCTAGCAAGCGACGACGACCGTGACGATCGATGATCCTCCCCCCTGGCGCCGGCAAACGACGACACCCGCCACGACGACGACGGCCGGCGCCCGCCCCCCATTGCGCGAGGGGGCGGGGGTGATGTATGGAGGAGGAGGAGGAGGAGGAGGAGGAGGAGGAGGAGGAGGAGGAGGAGGAGGAGGAGGAGGAGGAGGAGGAGGAGGAGGAGGAGGAGGAGGAATATTTGTTCGTGCCGGGGGGCCCGTCTTCGACGTGTCGATGAACGTCTCGCATCCAGTCGCTCGTGAAACGGGCTCTCTCACAGGGGGCCTCTCCAGGGAGAGACAGCGAGAGATGTTTACGTGGTACTGCGTCGGACCGCAGACATATTGTGGCGCAGGGGGTGGTGACGAAGTTTATGTGACCACGATTGCGCGGCCCTGGAGAACGGCCTGTAGGGGGCCTTCAGGGTCTACAGCGCCTCTTGATGCTTTCAGGTGTCCCGTCGGTCGAGGCCTCCAAAGGAGCCTTCAGAGCCTTCTCGTGGAAGCACCCGTAGGGTAGGCGACGTAGGAGGGAGCATGGCGCGGGCCTGCACGGGGCCGCGGTCTCGCAGGAGGACTGCGTGGGACCATGGGGGACCCTCAAACACCTGGCTCCAGAGGGCTTGCAGATCCCCCCCGGGACTCTGACAGCCTGCAGCGGCATCAGGAGGCCTTCAGAAGGCTTCGAGCATCCCCCCAAGAGTCTCCCCAGAGGATTTTCCCGAGGCTTCGGCGTCCAGGGGCCTCCACACAAGAGGCGGGCGCAGTTGCCCGGCACTTGGTCGCCGGTGTGGCACCGTGTGGGACCTACGTTGCGCCACAATTCGGCTGGATGGCGATGGGGGGATCAGGACATGGGGGGATGAGTATCCGGCACCGTTTTGTTGGGGTACAATTTGCACCTTCTCTGCGGGTTGCAAGTACAAATTGTACCTTCTCCCCCCCGTTAACATCCTCGCACATGTCGCGGACGTTGTCAAAAGTACAATTTGAACCTTGTCTGCGTGGCATCGGTACAAATTGTACATTCTCCGTGGGGCGTAGGTACAATTTGTACCTCGGTTTCGCCTCTCTCCCCATCTGGACTTATCCCCCCATTTGCATCCCGCCAAACAATGCTGCGGGACGCGACTCGACAAGCTGGTCGGGAGAATTGCAGAGCGAGGTCTGGGAGCCGATTCTGATAGCGTTGGCCAGGAGAACAAAGGCCACCTGATGTCTTTATGCGTGGCAAAGTTGGTGCTGTAGCCATTTTGGCTCAAAGCGCAGAGCTAACTGCGTTTTGGGGCGCTGGCGCGGCATGGGGCGTGACACCGGGACTCCTCGCTCACTGGGCACTACCAACGTTGCCAGAGATCTGTGAGGCCGGCAGCCTTGCTTGGGCCTACGTGGGAGTACTATCGCGGATGCAAGCCTGGTTCATACGGACAGTCGTTTCTTGCGCCTTGTGGTGTGGCCCAACGGACGTGTTGGGAGATCTGTTCTACCATGCCTTCACAAGCGACCCCGACGGCATCGAGTCGCACCTCCGACTAGTCGGCGGGTCCACTGTCGACTACTTCTCCACCGAGCACAATGAATTGTGCCCCGAGGTCGTTGGACCAATCGATCCTCCGATAGGTATGACGCAGCGCTTCCAGCACCCGGAGTTTCGTGCACTTAGCGAGGAGGAGTACGACGCGCTCCCTGAGCACTCCTATTTGGATGAGGATCAACTGGACAACCCGAATGCGGGCAAAATATATTTGGGGGATTATACCGAGACTTTGCTCACGAAGGAGTTCGTTCCAGACGACGACCTGCTCCCGTTGCCGCACAGTCGGACGCAGCTTTGCAACTACGCCCTGCGGCTGTCGGAGGCGGAGCCCTCACAGAACACGGCGGCGTGGAGCCGGTTCAAGCAGCTCGTAGCCTTCGGATTTGAGACCGAATTCCATTTTCAAATCTTGCATCAAAACAAGGAGTGCGTCATCTCTGGGCAGACCTCCTGGTGCGATCCGCAGGGCGCCGACGGGTTCGCATTCGTCGTCCAGAACGACGGCAGGAAGGTCGTTGGCACAGAGGTGAGCGGCCTGGGCTACGGATTCGCGAATTCCCTCGCCGTGGAGTTTGACACCCACCGGGATCAGAGCCTTGGCGACCGCACTGGCAACCACATCAGCGTGCACGTGCCTCCCGCGGTCGGTGACCTCAACACCGCTGGGCAGAGAGGAGAGATCGCTTACGCAGACGATATCCCGTTGCTCACGGAGGGCACGCACGTCGTGCGGATCGAGTACACACCCTCCGAGTACGCTTGGGACGACTTGGGTGCTGGCTTCGACGCCGACCTCGGCGCAGAGCGGCTGTCGCTGCACGCGGCGGGGCGGCCAGGGATGTTGACGGTGGACTTGGATGGCCAGCGGGTCATCAGGGTGCCCATCGATCTCGCCTACGTGGTGCAGGTCGATGGCACGTTGAGCTACAAGGAAGATGCACCGACGCAGCTGGATGCCGACGGACAGCCGAACCCCGACGCCTACGACGAGCTAGGTTCCTCGCCAGGGCGCGCTTGGGTCGGTTTCACGAGCAGTACGGCCTATTTCAAATATCAGTCGGTCTTTATCTTGTCCTGGGTCTTCAAAGAGAAGGCTGCTTGTCCCGGCGAGGGCGCAGGGGACACCATGTGCCGCGTGAACGAGGGCACCGAGGGCCGCTCGGTCTGCAGCGGGAACGGCACCGAGCTGTGCGCGTTCGTGGTGCAGAACATCGCCCGACAGCCTGTGCAGATTGCCGCGAGGCACTTCCTCGACAGGCCTTTCGAGGCCACTCCCTGCGAGCATGGGGTCTTGCAGTGGAACCAGCTTCATCCATATTTTTTGGGCTGCTCGAAGACGGTGCGATACACCAAAGACCTTGAGCAGTTGATCATCAACACTTTGGATGGCACCCGTGGCGTGATCGTGGACGACGCTCACACGCTCATGAAGGCGCCTGCGCCTTTCAAGAAGCGCAGCGTCTTCGAATGGTGCACGCTCGAGCACGAACACGACCCCGCTCGCCTCTACTTCGCCCAGTGTAGCTGCGAGTACTGCATCAGGCTCCTTCACCTCCAGGCGTCCTACGCTGTCTACTACCAGCACATGGCCACCGAGCGATTCGGCCTCCTGTGTCCCTGCTTTGAGTCCTCAGAGGTTGACCACGACATGTCCACGTGGAGGACACTGGAGCCCCTGCGGCACATGCGGATACACGTCAGCCGCGGGTGCGCCTTCACATCGCAGTGTGCCGAGATGTTGAAGTTCGCCAGCTGCGAGGAGGCTTACCAGACGTACCAGCTGGGCAATCCGCAGACGCCCACGATCCTGTCGAACGGGTTCGAGGACCTTGTCCTTGACGGTGGTAGGGTCGTAGACGGAAGGATCCGTGGTGACGCGTGCGATTGCACGCCGAACGCGCGTCCATATGTCGGGACAGGTGGTGGAGGGACAGGCCAGTGCCAAGAGGAGGGCGCCATTCTCCAGACGTCCACGCAGCCGACCCTGTCGCATTGCCTGGCCTTCTGCGAGAGCGACCAGCTCTGTACATTCTACGCGTACTGGGTGGCCAGCCAGACTTGCAAGACGTACTGGTACTGCGAGTGGGTACTCTGCACGGACACCGATTGCATGGCTGCCGTTACATACCAGTTGGCCGAGCTTGGAGAGTTTTTCAACACACTCGGTGACGTGCTGTACTACAACGTGTACCCCCTGCGAACCGTCCAGACGTCGAAGGAGGAGTGCCAGAGCTGCTTGCATCTGTACGAGGAGGAGTTCTGCGTGGAGCAGTGCGGGCCGATCACTCAGGTGCCGTACTTGCATTGGCCTGGAGGACCGCTCTGCGCCACGTGTATCTTCGCAGGCAACCAGTGGCACGAGCTGACGGACTCGGAGACCACCACGGCTACAGAGTGCGTCATGACATCGATTCGCAACGGCCTGGACCCGTGGTCGTATTGCAACCAGACCTCCCTGGAGGTGCTGGGGTTGCCGTCTTCCGACCTCTTCAACGGAGTTGCCACTCACTATCTCTCCGAGTGCCCCGGGCGCACCTTCGAGGAGTCGGGCGCCGTCTGTGTCCCAAACATCTACGCCAACGACCACTTCCGGCTGCAGGTACTGTCCCGCATCGCCGCCATCAACGACACGGTCTGGAGCGACCAGATGCAGTGCCTCAACGCCTTCTGCGACTTGGTCCCCCTGTCGTCGTGCTACTACCGGCTGGCGTCCTGGGATTTCAGCAGCAGCGTGTACGAGGAGACGGGCGGCCTCAACGCCACGTTTTACAGCGGTAATTCCGTGGTGGACCCGGGCGCGCTCGTGCAGGTCACCATGACAGAAAGGGGTCCTAAGGGAAAGGGGTCTAGATTGCTTGTTGCTCGTGTTGCAGTGCTTGTGTGACTTTCGGCATCCTGGGGCCCTTCCCCGGCCCCAGGACCGTCAAACAGCGTCGGCCACGCGCAGAGGGTTGCAGGGGGAGAGGGGAAGGCTTCTCAGAAGAAGGTTGCACCTTAGAAGGTGCGGGCCCAACGTCTACAGACGAGGCCCGCGCCTTCTACGAAGAAGCAGCCTCCTTCCAAGAAGCCTCCCCCCCCTCCCCCCTGCCCCCCTCTGCACGCCGCCAGCAGCGGCCCGGGATGGAACCACCGACCCCGGTGGAGACCCCAGGGCCAGGACCCGCTCTCCTCGGGGCTCTTCGCCCGGCCTGCCAGGGGGGCGCGCTCACGCTCGTGAAGGCTAACGAGCAGTACGTGGTCACGTCGCCGCTGCCTTTTGCACTGGAGAATACGACCATCGAAGCCTGGGTAACCGTCGGCGAAATCGAGAGGATCACCAACATCGCCCAGAACAAGACTGTCAAGACGACCAGCTCTTGGCAGGACGACTACCTGGCTCTCTACGTCGTCGACGGGGACTTCACTACCTACTGGCAGTCTCAGATCGGGGAGGCCTTCCGGTACAGCCTTCAGGCCACACTCATCGTAGATCTCAATTCGACCATGTCTGCTCAGGCGTTCAATATTTACTGGAAGCAGCCAGCTGCCGACTTCACATTCGCTGTTTCCAGGGATAACGTCACTTGGAACGACATCGCCACGTTCGCTGGCAACTCCGACGAAACCACCTTGATCAACGTTTTCTACCGTGGGAGGTTCCTCCGGATCCTCATGACCAACGCGGCGACTCTGCGAACGTCGGACCCAGGGATCAATTGCCCAGTCTACTCAATTTGGGAGGTCGAGGTCATCTTCGACCAGGTAGTTTCCACGCTGAAGCCGGCGGTCGAAACTCATACCTGGCACAACCTTGCCGCTCGGGCGATCGACGGTGATGTGCTTACGTTCTGGTCGACTCCTACTGGCATCGTCAGCTCCTACATCCTCATTGACTTTGGGGTGGACCTCAACGTGTCCTACACTATTGTCAGGTGAGCGACGGAAGAACATGGGGTCGGCTGCGCGGACATTGGCACACAAGCTGTCCGCGTAAGGTCGAGCGGCGTAAGCTGCTTGGTGCCCAATATAGCGTGCCGCGCTGGCGGCCCGCATGAGCCACCGCGTAAGGTCGCTGTGTCATCGTGCGTATCATGGCGCCAACATCGCAGAGCGGATTTCTTTCGGAAAACAATAGACTTGGCCCGAATTGTCCTGGAGAGTTTCGTTTTGGATTTCCGTGCTTTTTTTTGGGCCAGAAATTCGGACCAGCGAGGTTCGACTCGTTTTCCACTCGCCGTTTCGGTGCTGCTTTGCGCTGGCAGAAACCCACGCAAAAATCCGCTGCAGCACGTCTGCAGGGTCGGTGCAGTGACGCGCAAGACCCTTCTCGTTCTTTCGCACAGGTGGCAGTACACTCCCCAAAAGTTCTCTGTCCGCCACGGCAGCAGCGGGTGCGCGGAAGGCCTGCCCGCGGCGAGCGGCGAGCTGTTCCAGCGGGTGGGCACGCAGGTCGAGCGCGACGGCGAGAGCAGCGACCCTTGGACCGGGCGCTGCCTGGCCGTGATCGTGCTCGAGGCTGGCACGTATTTCAACGAGTACTACATGGCCCTGAGCGAGGTGGAGGTGTACAGCGAGGCCACCAACCTCGCCCGCGACAACTCTACGGCCGTGCTGGAGACCTTCCCCACCAACGAGACCGGCGCTCACGTCACGGCTATCGACGGCGCTCTGGACGGCGACCCCACGACGTATTGGATGCTGGCCACGGTGGGGGGCACGGCCCGCTTGCTGCTGGACTTGGGCTCGGTCGAGTTCGTCATGAGCATCGAGGTGCGGTGGGCCACAGTGGACGGCGTGAGGTCCGCAGGAGGCATCTGCACACCACCGCCGTGATTGGCCAGGGCATCCTTGGCCCTGGGTGGTGCATGCGGACAGGAACTTTCTGTAAGCGTGTCGTTCCGCAGGTTCTGGCCCACCACGCTTCGGCGCGAAGCGCGGTAGTCACGTCCCCGTCCCCGAGCGCCAACGTTCCGGACTTTTCCCAGCCTCCCGCGATGCAGAGCGATGCGACACGCTTTCCGCTCAGTGCCGCCGCCGAAACATGCTAAGCAAACGTTCCAGACCGTAGACCCTCCTGGGCTCGGCCATGAGGGCGTGTACACCGTGCCAGCCAAGGATGGACCTGGCCGGGCACGGTGGTGGAATACAGACGCCTTCTGCGCGCGAGGTATTTGGCGAGCTCATTCTCGGTCTCGGGTGGAACTTCGTTGCCCATGGACACGTTCGAGGAGCTCGACTCGCAGGTTGGCGTCCTGGTCGACGTCAGGGCGTTCGTGGTCTTCAAGCAGCTCCGCTACGTCGTTTTGCAGGTGAACCAGATCCTGTCCTCCAACCCGAACGGCTGGCTGGGGGTTGAGGACTTCGTTGTCTGGAAGAGGAGCGGTAATTTGGTGACCGAGATGGGATCGCAGGCTAGCGCGACTGCGGAGTGGGCAAACTGCAGCACCTGCTCCCTCGAGCTCGACAGCGAGACGTACATACACGACTCCCTTGCGGCCGTCGACGCCGACTTCAGCACCTGGTGGGGTGCCCCGTTCGCTGCAGACCCAACACTGGAAGTGTACTTGGAGGTGCAGCTGGCGTCGCAAGAGTCCATAGACGTGGTTGGCATTTGGTGGCAGTACCCCGCCGCTGACATCAAGGTCTATGTCTCGCTAGTCACGCTGGCCAACGGGCCGCAGGCTTGGCAGCTCATCCAGACGTATCTCGGCAACACAGCGTACACCACGGCAGTCTCGTTCGCCAACACACAGATTGCCGGTGGAGTTCGAGTATACGTGAGTACGGCGCTCGAGTTGTTAGCCGGCGAGCCTGTCATGGGTATCAAGGAGTTGCAGTTGCTTTCCATGACTGGCGAAGGTGATAACCATGCCCTCAACAGGCCCATAACTTCTTCGGATGGCATCACGACGGGGCTGGACTTCATCGTGGATGCCAGCACAGTCTCCAAGTGGGTCTCGGCCTCTGCTGACGAGATAAGCCTCACAGTCGACTTGGGAAACCGGACATTCATGTGGGGCCTGCGGCTCTTGTTTCCAGCCAACACGATCGCGAGCTCCTTTGTTCTCTCGGTTTCGGACGACTCGGCCAACTTCACCGCCGTCCAGCAATGTGAAAGCTTCAGCCTCTGTTGCCGCCGCCCCACTCGTGGACTCGGGGCTCGGGGGGCCGTCGAATTGGGAACGCATATGGGCGTGGGTATTCTTGAGGCTTCTCAATGCCATCTTGGCGCTCCCTTGGGCCATCTTTAGCATCCTGGGGTCATCTTGGAGCTACCCCGGTTTCTCTTGAGGGCACTTTGGAGCCTCGTTGGACCTTGTTGCGCCATCTTGGGCGATCTTGGGGACGTCTTGGGGCCTTTGTTGGCAACTTTAGGCCCGTCTCGGGAAATCTTGGGGCTCTCCTGGGGCCTCTGGGAGTCGTCCTATGGCTTATGGCATTGCCAGGGTCTCCTGAGAGCAACACAGATTGCAGGCAGCAGCCATTTGCTCTTTGCTCCCATGCGTCAGTATCTGTGATGCTACCTGGGATGACATCGAAGCGTCTTGGAGATCACCTCCGACGATCTTGGGGCATTTTTTTGAGTCGTCGAGGCTTCGGAAAGCAACTCTAAAAATGTTTCGAAGCCATCCTGCACCGCCGTGGCTCTATCGGGGGCTGTCGAACGGTTGTGGTTTGTTGATTCTTGGAGGCAGCCTGAGGCCGAGGGGCCACCATTAGGTGGTGGTAATGATCCGATCCTGGGTGGGCCAGGGTTAAGTCGGGCACGCCCCTCTACAGGAGGAATAATCCAAAATAGTAAAAATAGCGTGGGGACGATTTTTAGATTATTTGTTTACTATGGTTGAGCATGTTTTGCCTATTTTCTTTTTTCCTCCAAAATCCGCCTGTAGGAGGACATGCCCGACCTAAGGCCAGGGTGATCATCCGGAAGTTGCCCTGGAGGCGACCCTGGCCCGAGGTGGCCCCAGTTTTTCCTAGAAGGCCCATGGGGCCCCCACAACTCCGAAATGGCGCAAAAAGCTGGGGGCACCTTGGGTTAAGTCGGGCCTGTCCCTTTACAGGAGGAATATTCCCAAATAGTCCAACACATAATTTGGGGACTATTTTACAATATTTGTTGACTAGATGTGAATCTATTTTTTGATATTTATATGTTGTGTCCAAAATACGCCTGTAGGGGGACATGCCCGACCTAAACCTTGGGGCAGGATCACTACTCGCAACCTCCGAACTCTGAGGGAGCATGGACAGGTGGTGGTCGACGTTTTGTTTCGGACACTGAGGGTCGCGGGTTCATATTGAAAAGCAGTGTCACTGAACAATGTGCAGCAAGGAGGGCGATTATTGCCCAACAACTTGCAGGAGCCACGCGCGTACGCACCCTGCTTGATAACAAGCTTACGTTCCGCTGTCTGATGGCCGCGCAAGTGCGCCAGCGGATATCTTTCGAATCAGGCGCGAGATGTTGTCACACTGGTGAACCTGACCGCGCAATACGTGCGAGTGACTCTGCGAGACACGGATGCCGACTACTTCTCCATCAGGACCTTCGGCGTTTATGGCAGTCCTAACCTCGCGCTCGGACAGGACACTTCTGCACCCCTCAGCTGGCACCACAGCTCCTACCAGGCGCTCGACGGCGATGCCGACACCTTCTGGGTGTCTGAGCCCCTAGCCACATCGGCCGTCATCCAGGTGGATCTCGGCGCGCGTACTTTCGTTGGCGGAGGGATAGAAATACAGTGGAAGTTCCCGGCCTCCGTGTACAGCCTCCACGTCAGTGATGATGGGCAGGATTGGCGGCAGCTTGCTGCCTACAATGAGAACGTTAGCTTCACGCGCTACGACGACTACTTCATCACGCGGTACGTGGAGCTCCGCATGGACCAGGCTCCAGTGGTGAACTCTGACATTGTCTACGCGATTTATTCTTTCAGTGTGATTTTTGATACGAACTTGGCACACTTCAAGACGATCAATGCAAGTAGCACAATCGACTATGGGATCTTCCACGAGTCCATGGCGGCCGACGGTGATATGGACACGATCTGGATGCCGCAGCAAAGCAGCGACACAAGTCGCATCGAGTTCGACACGGGGGCAGACAGCAGCATATCTGGCTTCTCAGTCTTCTGGCGTTTTCCGCCAGCTGCCTACCGGGTGGAGGCCTACCGAGAAGAAACCGACACATGGATTGAGCTCACAAATTATTCTTCAAGCGACGGCGTCGGCGAGCAGCAGACATACGGTGTCGGCTTTGTTGCCAGAACAGTGGCTCTTGAGGTGTTGAAGAGAGCTGAGGTCGACGAGGGCACTTTGGTAGCGATGCGGGAGTTCGAGTTGCAGGTGCCGGACATGACGAGGAGCATCGCCAATGCTCGCTACACCACCACCAGCGACGGCGAGGCAGGCATGGTTCTTGGGAACCCTCCATCGCATGCGGTAGACGGAAATGTTGCAGGAACGTATTGGCATGCTGGGTGGGAGACATACGAGGCCTGGTGGTTGGTCAAGTTTGACGACATATACGATTCTGTAGGAAACACTTTGTATCACGAAGTCGCCCGCGTCGTTATTAATTGGAGATGGGAGCCGATGGAGTACACGATCCAGATGGAGTCCTACGGAGCGTGGCGGATAGTTTACGCAGAATCGAAGACGCTTTTGGCGGATCACCGCCGCCCCTTGGCTTCCTGGAATTGCCTGTGCGGTGAAATGTCGAGTGGAGAAGCGGCTATTCTCGTGGACTGGGTGCTCCAGCGCTTGGTGAAGCCACAGGCGGAACACTGGGAAAGGCCCTCTGGGGTCATCTTGGGGCTCCATTCGGGCTCTTGTCGAGAAATGGGGCTTTCTTGGGGGCCTGATTGGGGCTTGATGGGGCCACATCGGGGCTCTCTTGGGCCATCTTGGGGTGCTCTGGGGACGTCTGGCGCCCTCGGAGACAGTTCTTGAGGCCCGTTTGGACTGTCTTGGGACCCTCTTGGGGCCCTCCAGGGCCATCTTGAGGTTGTCTTGGGGCCGCCTTGGGGCCTTCTTAGGCCGTCTCGGGGGAGTATTGGGGCAGTCTTGGGGCCATCTTGCGCCAGCTTGGGGCCCTCCTGGGGGCCACCTGTGCGGTCTCCATGGAGGCCTCTTGGGCAGTCTTCAGGCCAGCTCAGGCCGTCTTAGGGCCATTTTGTACCGTCTTGGAGGCGTAGTTATTGGGCGAACTTGGAGGCCTCATCCTCTTGGGCCGTCTTCGAGGCCACCTTGGACCGACTTGGAGGCTATATTGGGCCATCTTGGCAGTCGTGAAGGCAGGTTGTTTTCATGTTTCTCGTTTCCCTGGGTGGCTGGCGCGATGCGGCAAGGCCACCAGGAACCTTGTAGAAGGGCCAGCAATAGTTGTACAGCTCGGTTCTCCACGCACCCCTCCAGCAGGCTACCGGGGCGGCGGGTCTAGTGGTCTTTGGCCCAACCCGCCACGTTGCCCGTGTTGTGGGCTTGAGGCCTCTCTTGGATGTCTCTTGTGGTGTCTTGGGTCGCCTCTTTGGGGGCCGCCCGCGGGGTCCGCGCCGGCGTCCTCGTCCGCCACGGCGCCTCTCCCAGTTCCTTTGCAAACTGTGCTGCGCGTGAGCGGCCGCGCCCGTCTCGACACTCGCCTGCCCCGAGCGTGCCTGCCACTTGGGCTTCTCTTCGAGGAGCTCCAGTGACCCGTGCTCCTGGCCCTCGGGGCTCGCGTAGAAGTGCCAGCTGTCGCGGACTCCTCGCTGCCAGCTGGACGACAGTTCCACTTCGGTATCGTCCATGCAGGTGCAGGTCGGCCCGCAGGGCTCGTCCTCCCGCTCCTGCGTCTCCAGCTGGTCGTACTTGTTGCGCCGCGCATCGCCCGCCATCCACACGGCTTTGCACGTGAAAGCGTCCCAGCAACGGCGCGTCGTGCGAGAGGTACCCGAAGAGCAGGGTGAACGCCATCTCGCATCCGCTCTTCCGCGAGGTCTGGCGTAAGCTCGCCTCGAATCGGGAGAGGATCTGCACGGTGCACCTGCAGGCTTGCTGGCGGCGCGCAGCGGGGACGCCCTCGCCGTCTCCGGGCCTCGCGCCACTCGCCGTTCAGACGAAGCACCGCGGCGGCCAGCTTCGCGAGCACTCCGCCCATCGTCGGGTTCACCTTCGTCGTGTGCCAGTTTGTTGTAGCCCGTGTCGTGCTCGCCCACGAACATCTCCATCGTGGCCTGCCCCCTGGCTTCGTAGAGCAGCTTGGCGTGGCCCGGTCCCTCGCCGGTCTCTTCCCCCTCGGAGTCTGGCGCCATCGGTGCGTCGTCGTCTTCAGCGCGAGTCTGCTCCTGGCCTGATGGGCGAGAGGTTCCGTCGGGGGGGCGACTCCCCTCAAGCAGTGGCGAAGCGTCTTGGCGTGCCTATAGGCCTAACAAACAATGTTCTAATAACATTTTGTGGTTTCCACGAACTGTTCTTAGAACATTGCTGGCTGGGGCTGTCTTGTTTTAACACATCGGTTTTATGATATGAGAGCATTTTTTGTTCTTAGATTGAGAATTTCGTGATAGGCCTATAGGAATGCCGGGACGGTCGGTCCCTGCTCAATCCCCGAGCTCTACCAGTGATTCGTGCCAGCCTTAGCTGCCTCCATACGCCCGTTCTGATACGCAACACGTGCCGTGTTCAAATCGTCCGTGTCAATACGTTGCGTGTTGGCTCGACGTACTGGCCCACGTTTTGGCGAACGTACCGCGTCAGACCCGCGTGTTCAGTCTGCGCGTTGAGCTCCGTATCAATACGCTACGTGTTGCGTGTTGCGTATCGGGGCAGCTAAGGTGCCAGCGCTGTCGCGGCGTGGCAACAGCGGTGCTCCGCGACAGGCGAGGTGCTGCCTCCGGCCAGGGTGCTGCGGCGCGCCGAGGCCGAGGTCTGGGCAGCGCGGAGGCCTGGGAGGTGTCGGCAGGCCCAGAGCCCCCCCCCCCGAGCAGTGACAGAGATCACGACGGGAGGTTTTTCGCAATTTTTTGCCCCTGGAGGGCCCTCACCGGGCCTCGGGGCCGTCGAAAAACGACTCGGGAGGAGGATCCGGTCCTGGGGAATAGGTCGAGACCTCGGAGGGTCGACGCAGTGCAAAAATCGTGACGTCGGGGGTCCGGGCGGGGCTCCAGTCCGGACGTGTCCGTCCAGAGGTCGGGGCGCAGCGCGCGCCACGGCTGCAGCACATCCAGGGTCTCGGATGCAACTCCTGGGAGGCCAAACTATGATTTTGCCCTGGTCCGAAATCCGGCTTAATCCCGCTTAATCCGAGGCCCACTCTGGTGTAACAGCCCCTAAATCGGTTTAATCCTCCTTAGTCCTTCCGACGAAGACCTCCCAGTAGTTGCGTCTGAACAGGGTGGAGCGGACGGTGGTCATCCCAGCGTTGTTCGTGCTGCACCTTCCCTGGGTGCCTCTGGAGGGTCACGATGCTGCCTGCCGTGCCGGCAGTAGGTCTCGCGGGAGGCTGGCGACGCAGGCGCGGGGCTGCCTCGGCGTCGGGTGCGCATCGCTTGATCGGACTCTTCGCTGCACAGGTTCACCGCGCGATAGAAGTTGTGGCGGCAGATGAGCGAGAAGGCCTTCGAGCGACGGGCTGCAGACGCGCGGCGCAACCGATCACGAGCTCGCGCGTCTCCGCGCGGCACCCTGATCCACTTGTCCGACGGTGGCGCCTGCCTCAGCTCGCCGTGTCTGAGCTGGCACAAGGGCGGCTTTCACGAGGCCATCTCGCGAAACGGCGTGGGCCGGAGGCTCTTGGCCGCCTCCGCGCGCTCTGTCTGCCAGCTCTCTTTGTCGATGCCCTCGCTCTTGTCGTTGCGCAGCGGCACCGCTCCGCTGGATGTCCCTGGGCCCACGATGGTGGCGTCAGTTGCGCAGTTCTCAGCACCTCAGGGAGGGCGAGGTCACGCTTGGGTATTGCGTGGGACACTACTTCGCTGGAGCTCCCAGGAGCCCACGAGAGCGGCGGCAGCTTCACAGCAGCACGCAGGTAGGGCGAGAAGATGGGAGACAGGACGATAGCGTCGCAGGGAAGCCAGGTAGGCCAGCAGAGAGAGGAGGGAAGCGGGAGGAAGGAGGACAGAGACCGCAGTGTTCTTTGCAGTCAATGGAGCAAAAACCACCCGGACCCGACAATTGGCGTTTACTAATCGGCTTTGGGCGTTAACTAAACAGCCCTGCCCTGTTCGATTCCTTCTTTTGGCGCGTTTACTAAACGACTTCGTGTGTCGGGGTGGTTATTATGGAGGTGGATGTTTTGACCTATAGGGATGAAGGAGGACAGAGACCACAGTGTTCTTCTCAGAGAGCGAATCCAACGCAATCCGCAAGAAGACCAGGAGCCAACACTGACAACTCGAAGGGACCCGAGGGCACGCGACCCAGCGCCTCGTGACAAGGTGGCGGATATGGCTTAAATTCGAGCGAGGCAGTAGACGACTACCTCACGGACGTAACGTTTCTGGAGCCGGCGAGCCAAATGCAGATATCTATCAAGTCGGCAGGCACGCTCATCGGTATGCGAGAGGTAAACGTGTACGCATCAACGACATACACTCCTCCACCAGTTGTGCTTCCCCGAGCCAACCCTTGCAAGATAGAAGCGTCCCACATGATCGACCTCGACAATCAGTCATTCTGGTTGAGTTCATCGGGTTCCACTGATATCAATATCATCTTGGACTTGGGAGAAATATATGATGTGCAGGAAATTGAAATATGGATGGGTTTCAAAACCTCGGGCTTCTTCGTCTTTGTTTCCGAGACGGGGTATCCAGACATAGAGATAAAGATGACTAGTACTTCAATCTGGGGTTTCGTGCAAATGCTAGACGTTAATCCCATCAGGATGAGGTATCTACGCTTTTTTATTTCGCAGGGCTACGAGGACCCTGAAGCTGGCATATTTGGAACAAGCGTCCGCGACATCCGGGTGTGGTACTTCAACAATCGTGCGAAGGGCACCATCGCCACATCGGACAGCACGTGGGACTTCCCTGGCGCATCCGCAATCGATGGCGCCAACGAGACGTATTGGCTGTCTCGATTTGGCTCGTCGGTCGATGAGCTCGTGGTGGATTTGGGCTCCGTGCACAACGTCGCTGGAGTGTCCGTGGAGTTCGGCTACGGTGCGAGGGAAATTCAGTTCTCTCACTCCATGGACGCTTCCTCTTGGACCCAGTTCGCAGCAGTAAGCAGCAACCTGGAGCTTGCGATCACCGTGCCTTCTACGATTCATTTCAGCACCCGGTACGTCAAAGTTTCGATGCAAAGCCCCGTGTCCCTCATTCCCGACCCTGACGAGCCAAGAGACCTCCAGAAGTACCAGTACGTCTTCTCGGTGAGAGAGTTTGAGATCTTCGAGCACACTGGCGGCGGCGGCGTCATCGGGCTGGAGTCTCTAGACGGCACCGAGTTTAGCACTATTGTCTTCGGTCAGCGGGAGCCAGGGGAGTGGCTGGTCGGCAGCGAGGCCGACATCTTCACGAAGGACTTCGGCGAAGAGCCCTACTCCGAGGACGTGGGCACCGAGATCCACATCGCGATGACATTCAGCACGGTCCTGAACCTCCCAGACGGCCTGAACCGCTACACCAGAGTGTCCCTCTACCGCAACGGGGTGGCCTACGGCAGCTGGGAGGGGCTCAATACATGTACCACGTCGTTTGGCTGGTCGAGGAGCTCGGTGCATAGATTTGAGTCCGGCCTGTCCCTCTGCAGGGGGGAATATCCAAAGATAGTAATAAAATAGTCTGGGGATGTTTTTTTCAACTCATTTTTGAGAATGTTTGAACATTTTTGGGGTATTTTCTATTCGTCGTCCAAAATCTGCCTGTAGGGGCACACGCCCGACCTAAGCATAGACGCCCCAGCTGCCCAAGCTGTGGGACGCTGTGGCGTCAAAGCACCGAAGTCCATGAGATCCCTGGCCGACCAGACGACGTGGTGCATGCATCGAGCAGGGCTGAAGCTAAACGGTGTTTTTCGTGTTCGTTTTGTTTTTGTTTTTTTTTCGTTTTGCCTTCGCTCCGCCCTGAGTGCAAAACAAAACGAAAAACGAAACGGCCCGCGAGATGGCCAAAACACCGTTTAGGTCCAGCCCTGGCATCGAGCTCCTCCGAGGCAGCCCTTACACGGTGCAGGCCCCGGTCGATCGCCTCACCGCGGCCAACCAGACGCGCCTCGTCTTCGGCGTCCGCAGCACCGCACACACGTCGGGTTGGAACGGCAGCGACCCCAGGGAGGGTTCGCTGATGGCCGACGTGCACTCCCCCTTCTTCGAGGGACAGATCCGCAAGCTGTCGCTCATCAGGAACGCCCTCACCTCCGAGGAGGTGTACGGCCTCTTCGAGACGAAATTTGGCTCCGCCGAGCGTGGGTGCCACTGTTACGATGCCTGCCCTGCCGGCTCCAACCGGCTTTTCCCAGACGTGCTGGTACCTTGCAGCGGGGCTGGGGTCTGCCTGCGCGCCTCCGTCTCCTCTAGCTTGGCCCAAGCCACCGGCTACTGCAGATGCAACCCGGGCTTCTCAGGTGACGCGTGCGAGTCCCACTGCTCGGACCTGTCGATCTACGGCTGCTGCGAGGCGGACGACGACTGCCCCTCTGGCGTCGATTGTAACCAAACGACCAAGGCATGCACGCAGTGATCGTGGGCGGGAAGGGTTGCCCGCCGACGGCCGCCGCCAGCACAGCCGTGCCGAGGAGCAGTGGTCACCGTGCCCTGGGCGGGGCTGGTTGCGATGCCTACGCGCGGATCAGGGGCGCCGACGGGGGGGAGTGGCCCAGGGAGGTGGGGGAAACCTCGGCCCCCAATCGCCCAGTCTTCGCCAAGCGGTGCCCCACTCCGCCCAGGAACCATGGGGACCAGGAGTGTCCTCATCGGGGCCCATCGCCGATCTGTTGGCGACGCGTCGTCGACTCCCGGCCACTGCCGCCCGTCTCGACTCCCTCGGCCATGGCTGGGGCCCAGCTCCGGGGGTCGGGCGAGGGCGGCCCAGGGCCGCTGACGAGGACGAGCTCGCGGAGGTGGCCTGCGCGAGAGCAGCGTGCTCTCGGAGGCCGCCCGCCGCTGCCGGCGGGCGGCTGGCGGTCGCCAGCGCCTCGGGGCCCTCGGCAGCGCCACTCGGGGAGGTCGGGGACCCTCAGATCTGGGTGTCTCGTTTAACCGATCCCCATCCCCATCCCCATTCCCTTCGAGACCCCCACCAAATTACCACCCCAGCTGGGGATATAGATACACCCCTCGAAACCCGAAGGGAACGACCTATATCCCCATCTAGGGCCTAGGGGGGTAAATCGGTCAGTGGGGCCCTGGCCACGCCGCTGGGGATGGGGATCGGTTAAACGATCCTCATGTCGTCGAGCAAATCGCGACGGCTGGTGTTCCGGCGTTTTCGGCCTGCGGAGGCCGTTTCCCCGCCCCGCAGACGTCAGAAGCGATTCGTGACGCAAAAGCTGGTCCCCGGGAATAGGTCAAGTCGCTAGAGGGGGAATGTTCAAAAATAGTTCAAAATAGTGTGGGGACTTTTTTTTGGGTATTTTTTTGACCATTTTGGAGTATTTTCTGAGTATTCTTTATTTTTCGTCGCAAATCCCCCTGATGGGGGACACGCCCGACTTAAGAATGGGTCGAGGCCCCTGGTAGCCCATGCCGCGCAAAAACTGCGTCGTCGGAGGAGGGGGGAGGGGGGCGAGCCAGCAGACTGCAGTTTGCAGCGCCGTGCACAGCCGCTGTTTGCGGCGCTGTGGGGCGCGTGGCCGCGAGGCGGGGCAGGGCTGGACCTAAGCGATGCTTTGGCGATTTCGTGGGCCGTTTTCGTTTCGACTTCGCTCTGCGGCAGAGGTGGATGGAAGACTGAACGAGGGAGAGCGAAAACAAAACGAAGACGAAAGACACCGTTTAGGGTTTAGGTTCAGCCCTGAGGTGGGGATGAGCTCGGCTCCTCCCGCGTTCGCAGTCTGCCGCGGACGCGCTGCACCTTGGCCGTGGCGCGTGCGCCCCTGCGGGTGCATCACCAGTCTGCGCCGGTCGGCCGGCTGCCCCCCGAGCGCTGCGACCAGTGGCTCCATTCCGAGTTCCTCTCCGGCCGCCTTCAGTCAGGAGAAGAAAAACACACACGGACACGATTGATCGTCGATGCCCCAGGAAAGTATGGGAAAGCATGGGCAGTGGGGGGGAAGACGAAAGCCCAGGGAATATGGGAAAATAGGGGGACCCCGGTTATCTGTGTCTATTTACTTGTGTCCCCGGGCCCCTTCGTTCAGGCACTCGGTTTTCAGCCGCTGACTTGAGGTTGGCGTGCTGGGCTGCAGTCTGGGCCAAGTGTTGCGCCGCAAACAACTCTTAATGTTTCGCGTATCCCCACCAGCCCATCCATCCAGGAAGGATGCCTAGGGGAGCTGCCCTTCGCAGGGGGAGCGTTACATAATTTGGATACCTCAGGGAGCCTTCTTGAACCAGAGGCCTCTTGGATGCCTCTCGGATTCGCTTGGGATGTCTCCAGGGGGGCTCTTGGTGGTCTCTCGGGCGCCTTTGGGCCCTCTTGGGGCCTTCTCTTGGGACCATCTAGGAGGACATCGATCAAACAAGGGGAGGTCTTCAATTCGGGTCCCCCCTCTGGAACCCCAAAAGCTGCCTCTCGGCGCACTCTTTGGGCGCTCTTGGGTTGTCGTGGGTTGTCTTGGGGCCGTCTTGGGGCCCTTTTGGGTCCTTCTTGTGGCCTCTTGGGCCACCTTGGAGCCATCTTGAGGTCTTGGAAGGCCACCAGACGCGAAAAGACAACCCACTGGAATAAGAGTGGTAACGAAGCAGAACGCGCAAGAGAATTGTTCTGGCACGCGTTCATTAGGCAGTGGGGCCCTGGGACGATGGTGAATTTGATGGCAATGCAGGAGTTTCTGGTGCCTCCATCCTCCCCTTCATTGTTCAGGAGGGCAAAGAACACAGACGAAATTCATCGTCAATTCCCCGGGAAAATATGGGAAAATATGGGAAGTGGGGGGGAAGACGAAAACCCAGAAAATACCGGAAAATAAGAGGAATCCAATTATTTGTGTGTATTTATTTGTGTGTCCCAGGGCCCCTTGAATTATTTTTACACCAAGTGGGGCTTCGACCAGATAAAGTGCGATTCCGTCCGCGACTTCCTCAGACAAAGTTTCTGGTTGCCTTCAGGGCGGCCAGGGATTCCGAAATTGGCGATTTCGCTCGGGACCCCCCCCCCGAAAGGCAGGTCGCTTTTCATGCCGCAAGGAGGTCTCGATTTGTCTTGGGACGTATTGGCGATCGAGTTTTTCCGGTCGCTCTTAAGTCGCCGATCGCCACATGTTAATCCAGGGGATTGTTCACTTTCAGTACGCCGCGGTGTGATTTGTGCGAGCGTTCATCGCCAGCACGCCGCGGCGTGATTTTCGTGAATTTCACCGCCAGCACACCGTGGCGTGCTTTCTGTGAACGCTCACCGCCAGCAGGTCACCGCCAGCACCCCGTGACATGCTTTTTGCGCCAGCACGCCGCGGCGTGCTTTTTGTGAACGTTCACCGCCAGCACGCCACGGCGTGCTTTGTGAGTGAACGTTCATCGTCAGCACGCCGCGGCGTACTTTCTGTGAACGTTACCGACAACAAGCCGCGGCTTTCTTTTTGTGAACGTTCACCGCGAGCACGCCGCGTCGTGCTTGTTGTGAACAACCGCTTGAACAAGAGGCACGCGCGCCATGGCTCTTGCACAGAAAGGAAGGGGGAGGAGGCGGAGGGGGCGCGCTGGCTGGTGAATGTGGTGATGGATGGGGCGCTCGGGATGGGGGTGTCGGGGCGGAGGGGGCGCGTTGGCTGGTGGATGGGGGGATGCGGAGGGGGCGCTCGGGGTGGGGGGGCGGCGCCGTGCCGAGATGAATGGGTCAGGGAGGAGGGGGCGGTGGCGCGCCAAAACCAAGGGGTCGGGGCGGAGGGGGCGCGATGGCTGAAGGGCGGGGGGGGGATGCGGAGGGGGCGCGCGCGGAGAGGGCGGAAAGGGCGGTGCCGCGCCAAAATAAAGGAGTCGGGTCGGAGGGGTGCGCCGTGCCGAAATGAAGGGGTCGGGGCGGAGGGGCGCGCTGGCTTGTGAGAGGGTGGGTGGGTGGGTGGGTGGGTTGGGGGGGGTGTAATAGAGGGGTCGGGCGGAGGGCGCGCTGGCTGCTGGTGGGTGGGGGGGATGCGGAGGGGGCGCGCGGGGCGCGCGGGGAGGGAGTGGGGGCCGTGCCGAAATAAAGGGGTCGCGGGGCGGAGGGGGCGCGCTGGCCGGAAGTGGGGGGATGCGGGGGGGGGCCGTGCCGAAATAAAGGGGTCGGGGCGGAGGGGCGCGCTGGCTGGTGGTGGGGGGATGCAGAGGGGGTTTGCCGTGCCGGAATAAAGGGGTTCGGGGCGGAGGGGTGTGCCGTGCCGGAATAAAGGGGGGCGGAGGGCGCGCTGGCTGGTGGGTGGGGGGGGATGCAGAGGGGGTGTGCCGTGCCGAAATAAAGGGGTCGGGGCGAAGGTGGCGCGCGGGGGGGGGCGTGCCGAAATAAAGGGGTCGGGACGGAGGGGGCGCGCTGGCTGGTGGGTGGTGGGATGCGAGGGGGGGGGCCGTGCCGAAAGAAAGTTGTCGGGGAGAGGGGGCGCGCTGGCTGGTGGGTGGTGGGATGCGGGGGGGGTGTGCCGTGCCGAAATAAAAAGGGGTCGGGGCGGGGGGGCGCGCTGGCTGGTGGGTGGGTGGGATGCGGAGGGGGTGCGCCGTGCCGAAATAAAAGGGGGTCGGAGCGGAGGGGTGTGCCGTGCCGAAAGAAACGGGGTCGGGGCGGAGAGGGGCGCTGACTGGTGGAATGTGGGTGATGGAGGGGGTGCCGTGCCGAAATAATGTGGTCGGAGCTCTAGACACCCTTTGCAAGATAATCAAAAGTTGTGACAACGGAGACCGCGTAAGAAGTGTTGATTGTTTCCCGTTAGGCAGCGGGGCTCCGGGACAATGGTGGATTGGATGCCAATGCGGGAGTTTCTGGTGCCTCCATCCTCGCCTTTTTCACTGACACCGGCAAGTGGCGATTTCGCTCAGGTCTTCCCCCAAATGTCTGGTTGCTCTTTATGTTGCCAGAAGGTTACGATGTTCCTTGGGATTTTCTGACAGTTGAGCTTCTTCAGGCCGATCGCCACTTTTGAATCCAGGGGTTTGCGTGAGAAGGCACACGCCTAGATGATCTTTAGATGTTGGACGGAGTTTGGCCTCTTTGGGGCTCCAAAGCTACCTGAACCCGTCTTGGAGCGGTCACCTCTTGGAGCATGTTGGAAGCCATTTTGAGCGACCTCGCGCTACCTTCAACCATTTTGGAGGCCATCTCATCTTTGGCTGGAGTAAACGGACCATTTGAGACCTCGCAGCTCCCTTGGCGGCTGCGGACTGCGCAATCGTCGCCACTTTCGTGGGCTCCTTGGAGGCGTGGCGGAGACGGGGAGTAAACGGATCATTTGAGACTTCGCAGCTCCTTGGGTGGCTAGGAACTGCGCAACGGACACCATTTTCGTGGGCTCCTGGGAGGCACGGCGGAGTCTGGGAGCAAGCGGACCTTTTGAGACCTCGCCCCCCCTGGTGACTGTGCAACTGTTGCCACTTTCGTGGGCTCCTGGGAGGCATGCC